CTCACTTCTTCAGATGCATTATGCCCAAATAAATCTTAGTCTTTAAGGTGCCACCAGACTCCTTGTTGTTTTTGTAGATACAGACTAACACGGCTACCCCCCTGATACAGGACCCTCTGTTGCTTTTACAGATTCAGACTAACACAGCAACCCCCCTGATACACTGATGTAGTGCTTCAGTGAAGATGCTACTCTGCTGACAGGAGAGCTTCTCCCATCCACATATTAATCCACCTCCATGGGAAGCAGTAGCTCAGAGAAGATTGTCCATTGACATAGTGCTGTTACACCTACCCAGCCCTTAGTGTAACTGCTTCACTCAGGGGCGAGGATTTTTATTTATTTATTTATTTATTTATTTTTCACACTCACACACACACACACACACACACACACACACCTGAGTGACTTAGTTATATGGATATAAATGTATAGTGTAGAGGTGGCATCTTTTCTTACTCTTTTGTTCAAGGTACTTTTCTACAGAAAGTTTCCCAGGATCCATTACTGCTTATCACAAGTTTCTGCACAAGGGCTCTATATGGTTCCCTTCATAGAATGAAGGCAATCAGAGAAATAAGACTGCCTTCTTCACTCAGTGAAGCCCAAAGGTCTCAAATCTCTACTACTTTGCACTTGTGCAATCATTCACATGAGTATAAAGACGTGTGAAACTCTGCCATTCTGATTAGCATATAGAGTGTCAAGTTTCTCTATAGGGTTTGTAGCAATGTAGCTTATTGTTTCTGATCAGCTCTTCCCAAATACTCTCAGTGCTGTATAGGCAGGGCCAGCTCCAGGGTTTTTGCCGCCCCAAGCAGGCGCCCCTCCCAAAACCACAATCACGATCTGCGGCACTTTGGCAGGAATCTTCGCTCCGAGCGGGAGTGAGGGACCCGCTGCTGAATTGCCGCCGAATAGCTGGACGTGCTGCTCCCCTCCGGAGCTTGCTAAGCTGGTGCCTGGAGCCGGCCCTGTGTATAGGTTTTGGTATAGTCTAGTCTCTGGTCCAACTAACAGCAATAAAGATAAAATGTAACAGAAGGGCTTGCCTATACTGGCACTTTACAGTGCTGCAACTTCCTTGCTCAGCGGTGTGAAAAAACACCCTCCTGCGCGCAGCAAGTTTCAGTGTTGTAAAGCCCCAATGTAGACAGTGCACCAGCGCTGGGATCCAGGCTCTCAGCGCTGGTAGCTACGCCCCCTTGCGGAGGTGTATTTTTTAAGAGCGCTGGAAGAGCTCTCTCCCAGCACTCTGCAGAGGCAGCGCTTTAACACTGCCAGCTTAGACTAGCCCTAAGGTAAATATCAGAAGGTTATGAAGAGTAAATTCTGAGAGGGAAACATGTTCTATTACTTCAGAGGCATGGGTGGTTTACAAATGTGCTAAGCATCCAAAGGAAGCAGATTACTAAAAGAAAAACTAACAGCCACTCATTTGATTCTGGGAGAAATATTTTGATGCAACACTTGCAATGAAATTCAGTAATAGAAAGAGGACATTGTAGATTGAAAGTGGAAAGTTAATGTTGCTGGGGCATTAAATTTCTGCCTCCCCCCCCACTTATGCCCCCCAAAAATACAACTTGTTGAAAGCAGGGGTGGGGGGGGGGAGAGAAGAACTACTCTATCAAATAATCTGAGAGAACTCTGAAAGCAGCCAGGGGAATAGAAATTTGGCCTTTCATTTGGCAAAGGATTTTGCTAGGACACTAAGGACCAATCTAGTACCAGCTGGTTGAAGCGTGACCAAGGAAGTTCCCATATTTAGGCGAAAACAAAATTCTAGTCAGAATCTCTGCCACACTAACTAGGGAAGAGGGATCAAGACATTTGTTGAGGAACAAGACACATTTCAGGGCAAAGACAGAACATGTACTATACTGCAGGATTAGGACAAGGGCAACTACATAGTAGGAATATAAGGCTATGGCTAAACTACAGAGATTTGACAACAAAAATTATGCCGCTTTAATTAAAGTGCTGTTGCATGTCCACACTATGGTCCTGGTGTAGGCAGAACACATCCACACTAGCAGCTCTTGCATCAAGACAGAGAGCAGTGCACTGTGGGTAGTTATTCCACTGTGCAACTGGCGGCGCGGTACTTTGGGAAGGTTTTGCAATGCCTCATGGGGCAGGTACAGTGTCACATGATGCGATTGATAAACCTGCACTGTTTCACTGGCATCCTACTAGATTCATTTGAAGTGTATGTGGGGAGGATCGACAGAAACAGAGCATGTGTTGGGGGAAGAGAGTGTCCGCATGCTACTTCTTTAAGTTCAGACAGCAGACAGAGCCGTCTCTCCACCCTCTGTCCGCCCCCCCCCTCCCACCATGCACAGCAGCAGCCCATTCTACCTGCCAGCCTGCAATTCCACATTAATGGTTCCTTCAGAGTTTTCCCACAGCCTCCTCAGCTGCCAGGAGCAGCACCCTCAGCAGTTTGTGAGCTCTCCATGCTGAGAATGTCAAAGCTTCCCAGAGTTTTGAAAGGGGAGGGGTGCATGCCTACAGGGCTGCCAAGCCAAGTTCAAAATAATGAACAGAATGGTCGCGGCAGGCATTGTGGAAGGCCAGTTATGTCAACATAACGGTAGCATCTACACTGATGCTTTGTTTCTTTAACTTCGCTGCAAAAAGCTCTATGTCTCTCATTGAGGGGGTTTTAATTTTGTTGGCAAAACAGCAGAGTTTTGCGGCCAAAAGTAACCTTGTAGTGTGTACACCTCCACTGTTTTGTCGGCAAAAGCTGCCTTTTGCCAACAAAACCGTAATGTAGACAAGACCTAAGCAACTTTGAACATAAAATTTCAGCATTGACTATGTTTGAGTAAGAGATAAAATTAGAAACTTCATTTAGATTAGGTTGACCTACCTCCAACTGTTTTACAATTGTACAGTTTTACCTGCCAACCCAAAAAAACCTCTTTAACTAAGGTTGCTGTCAGTTAGCACATTAACACCTTAGGTCAAAAGAAATTACTCTTCTTTGGGGAGTAGAGAGAATGGAAAAAAAGCAGGTGACATTTTCGGAAGGATTCATCATCAGGGCTTGTCCACACAGAAAGTGGTACTGCTTTAACTATACCAGTGTTCAAGTGGTACAATCTTCCTAGTGTGAACGCTGTTATAACCCTCTAGCGTGGATGCAGTTTTGCTAGTATAAAGGTGCTTTATACCAGTTATACCTTATTCTTGTATCGGAAGAGGAATAAACTATATCAATATAAATCATCTTTATGACAGGATGCTTTTCCCCTTCTTAATAAAAATCACAACTTAACCAAAAATTAGTTCTGAACCAGTATATTTAGATATGGCCTCTGCCTCTTCAAGAGAAGATAAGTATTTTAACAACTCAGTATTAAGCTGAACAAAATTAGCAAAAAGCAGCAAGTTATTTGACTAAATGTTTTGAGAGGTCACTGAAAGAACAAAATAAAGGGAAGCAATTTTTCCCTCTCCAAAGTCACATAGTAAGCGTTTTGGTTTTTGTAGCAACTCCACAACTTTCATAGGTTTCAAGGAGCCTTGCTGCCTTCGCCTTTGTCTCATGCTTGTAGTTTGGCAACAAGAAAGGTAGTGTTTTTGTTTCTCTTTTTTTAAAAAAACCATGGGCCAGTATATTGGCGGGCAGGATCAACAATTTAGTATTTAAAGTTGTCCTCAAAAACTTATGCAATGCATATACTTCTTTCATATAGCTTAAGAATAGCAATGTTCAGGGCTTAATTTGTGCTGGGGTTTGGCTGTTCATAGCCCCAACAATCTGGCCTCCCAGCCAGCAGCCACTACTCTCTGGCTGCCCAACTCTGAAGGCAGCACCACCACCAGCAGCAGTGCAGAAGGAAGGATGGCAATACACCATACCATGCCACCCTTACTTTTGTCCAACCTGAAGTGTTCTGTGAAAACATCTCAGGTTAGAAAAAATTCTGATGGAACCTATTCTGTTTTGCAGGTGGCCTGCTAGGGACCAGGGCTGCTAGGGTATGCAGCTTCGGGGCAGCCCTGCAGCTCAGGAACTATCCTATCCTTGCTGCAGAGCTGGGAGCCTGCAAGTCCTGGGGGCTCTCAGAGCCTCTGAGCTCCCTGCCACAGAGCCAGCAGCCTGGAAAGTTTGGGGTGGCTTTCCAAATCTACAGCTCCAAGGCAGCCCTACCATGCAGGCTGGCCAGAGAGATCAAGGTTTCTAGACTCCTCAGACAGCTTGCTCCTTTGACTGGCCAACTCCTGCAGCCCGGTGAATCATCTGGCCCAGGAGTCCAGGGGTCCCAGGCCTGGGGCAGAGCACATGGCAACATAGGAGACCTGGCAACTGTGGAGTGAAATTAACATAATTCTTTAGTTTTATGGCACCCACCACTGACCAGCAGTTGTGAAACTGTCAAAAATTATGTCAATTTCACTCAGCAGCTACCCAGTCTGGCAGCATTTTTTGTTTTGGCAACATATGGGTGCCTGTGTTTCAGGATAGTTCTCCCAAATGTCCACCCCCATCTTGAGAGAGTGTTGCTTTTAAAACCTACCAGAGTTCTTTCACTCTTGCATTCCTGGGATTTTTTCCCCTATACTGGCATGGTCTCTTAGCCCTCACGTGCTTACTTAGAAGTGGTTTATCTTGAGCTTTTCTTTTCCTTCCTGCTTGATTTCCCCCCTCGGACTATTAAGGTAAACCAATATATTCATACAACAAAAATAAGCA